TCAATCCGAGCAGGTGGCTGGCGCGGCCACAGACGGCAGCAGGGCGAGCCACTGGGGTCAAACCCAAGGCCAGGGCACACAGGGTCCTCCGGGGCAACCCCGCCGCGCGGGGCAGGAGCCCGGCCACGCAGAGCCCAGTGAGGCTCCGCAGGCATCCCATGGAGCTGCAGCGACAAGGAGGGGGCAGCCAGACCCCAGCCCCTCATGCCGGACCGTGGCTCCTCAGCCGGCACCCGGCCAGAAGCGCAGCTCCTGCGTATAGGGCAAGTGCAGGTCGCGCCGTACTGCGCCTGCGTGCGCCCTTTGCGCATGCTCTGAAGTGGCCAGAGGGGGTGGGAAGGCGTCCCTTACATCCGGGACCTTCTCAACCTGTACCTGCAAGGTTGAGGGATGGCTGGGTGAGACACATTGCTATACAAATGGAGAGATCCAACGTAGGCGCTTCATCTCTTGGAGTGATCGGAATAGTTTGTAAAGTGTCAGTTATTCCTATTAGCTAGCAGTTATTAAATGAAATACAACCACTGGTGGCTCAGGCTGGCCCAAGTTTTGCAGTTGCTGGAATATTTTCACATAGAATAAAATCCACAATTTGGAAGTAAGGCGTTTACAACCATTCTCAAATTACTTGCATTTAATTTTAATTTGGTCAGAAGAACAGAGTATGAAACTTACACCAGGGAAGAATAAAACATAGACCATAAAACATGACTTAGATTCTATATTTAACAACATGTAAGATAGCATCTATTTCAAACTACTATTTTGGGTGCCACTGAAAAAGAAAACAATACTGATAGGCTATATTTTCTAAATACACCAGTTGTAAGACATATCCCAATTTCAGTCTTAAGCTAGGAAAACAGTGATACTTTTTTTTTTTTTTCTGGTCGTGGGGCCTGAACTCTGGGCCTGGGCTCTGTCCCTCAGCTTTTCAGCTCAAGGCTAGCACTCTACCACTTGAGCCACAGCGCCACTTCCAGCTTTTTTCTTTTTGCTTATGTGGTGCTGAGGAGTCGAACTCAGCGGCTCAGGCATGCAAGGTAAGCGCTCTACCAATGAGCCACCTTCCCAGCCCAACAGTGATACTTTATTAGACTTCATGAATATTTTTTATGAATACTCTTCCAAGGAAATAATACAAGGCAGGCATGACTTTCACAGATTTCCATTCGCTGTGTGAACACAGAGCTAAGGAGATTTTTAAATATAATTTTTATTGAGATTAAGTAATTATGTAAACTTCACAAATTTCACAGTATTGTGGGATAAGGATACCTAAAGTCACAAACACATTTTAACCTTTCCAAGGCAAATTGTCATTATCATGGTCTATATAGTTTGTGAATTCTATATACTTTGACAATACAACTATTTCTTCCAAATCTAAGGGGATTCTTAAAAGACTCTATTTGGCAAATTGTCATTATCATGGTCTATATAGTTTGTGAATTCTATAAACTTTGACAATACAACTATTTCTTCCAAATCTAAGGGGATTCTTAAAGGACTCTGTTTTACAGGGCCTTGAGAACTGGGATGAATATGAGTAGGAAAGGCAGAATACAGAGAAAGCTTCACAAAAGGAAACCAATTATGATTCTATAACAAATCACCTGAAACTGTTAGGACTAGGACTTGGAACATGTAGGACTCAGGCGGTGTAATCATAGAAGCCACTTTATTTTTAACTTTTGCAGTTCCTTTAATCTTGCTGAGTAGAACTTGTTCTTCCCTTGTAAACTTGGACAGCTTACATGACCTTTCTGGACTCACCATTTGATGTTCTGGTTTCAAGTCAGTAACTTCAAATATCCAGTCTATGTACTAATTTCAATTCACTAATTTGCAATATTAGACCTAACATATTGACACTTTAATCTTCATTCCAAACAGCCATGTTTTAATTGAATGACAGCATCATGTTAGTGGGGCAAATGTTAAAGGTGACTCTCATTTTACCTCAGTATCTATTTTCCTCAGCAAACTCAGTGAGTGCGTTAGTACTTCTTTCATTCTTTTGTTCATATAGTCCTGTATTTCACTAGTATTTGTTGAGAATAAATGATATACCTAGTATTAATCTAGTTCTGGGATAGGATCATAATGAAACAAAGTCTCTGTGTGTTATAGATTGGTTCTCCCCAAATTTATGTCCCTTAGGAGCTTCAGAATGAGACCTTTTTTTAGAAACAGAATCATTGCAGATTTGGATTTAGAGCAATCATATGGAGAAGTAAATTGTCTACTTTTTGGTCCTTAACTGTATTTATTGAAAATAATCATGTTCTTTACTTATTCTTCATTAGTTCAATAAAAACACGCCATGCACTGTGTTCACTCTTGGGCATATAAGATGTGATAGTGATCTTCAGGGAACTTATATATCAGAGAGTCATTCACAACCTGGTTATACAGATAATTGTTTATTTCACTTGTGATGAGTGCTATGAAAGGACAGGGCAGTGTCATCAGGACTTAGAAAAGATGAGCCTGTGGAAATGGAGATATGGCTCAAGTGAAACAGTATTTGAGCATAAAAACCAACTGAGTGCATGAGGTCCTGTGTTCAAGCCTCAGTACCAGTATGTGTGTGTGTGTGTGCGCGCACACACACACACACACACACACACATACTAGAGGTGAGCTGTTGTTCTCTGTGCATAGGTACATTCCTGACATGTGTAGGTGCCCTAAACCCCTTTTGTTTTAAAGATACCACTCATGTTCAATTAGGGGTCATCCTTAATGGCCTCAAATATTTAATCTTTATTGCCTCTTCAAAGGTCTCATCGCTAAACACATTAACATTCTGAGTAAATGTTAGGGAAGTTAGAGCTTTAACGCACAAGCCTATATGATTCAGTCTACAGTAGAAAGTGGACTTCTCCATGCTTCTCCATGCTATTCCAGAAGCGAGAGAATAAATTACTGATGCTGTGTACTGGATTAAGGAACACTGGCATTTTCATTTGGAGCATGCTGAGTTTGATATGGTCAAATAAATTTATAACACAGTAAACACTTGGTTCCAGTGGTCTGGATTAGAAATAAATCTAGGCTAGATCTATTAATGTGGGGTTTGGACATATAGATAATGTTTGAGACTATGGGGAGGCAGGAGATTGCCCTAGAACGAATGAGCAAGGGGAAAGTGTTCCACATCGCAGACCTGAGGCATCCCAGCAACACTTCTAGGTTGAAAGAGTAGCCAGCAAAGGAGAATAAGACTGAGAGGGTTGGTCCTTTGTCTCTTGGGTTTGAGATGGTTCAACTCTATTTTTAATGTTAATGGAATAAACTTATATGAACTTTTATAGTAACCACTGAGCCAAGTACTACAAGAAGCACACTGGAAATGAAGAGATGGTAGATTATTGTAGTCTGTCTTTGCTTTTCCATATTTACTCATTTTAATTACTAGTGCAGCTTGTTTTTTTTTAAAAATTTTATTGTAAAGATGATGTCAGAGGGGTTACAGTTACATAAATCAGGTAATGAGTACATTGCTTTTTTGTGGAGCTTGAACACAGGGTTCTGATATTCTCCCTGAAGCTCTTTGTGCTCAATGCTACCACAGCACCACTTCTGTTTTTTGAGTGGTTAATGGGAGAGAAGAGACTCACAGGGACTTTTCTGCCCTGGCTGGCTTCGAACTGTGATCCTCCAATCTCAGCCTTGAGAATAGCTAGGATTATAGCATATGGCATGAGTACATTTCTTCCTCCTCCCCGCCAAGTTGTATAGTTAATTTACAACATGGTGTCTAGTGTATCACTGCTGAATTAGTTCACCCTTTATTCTCCCCCCCCCCATTTCTAGTGCTCAGGTTTCTATGTTTTGTTTATACATAAAGGACTCTTGGTATTATTTTTTCCAAATGATCAAAGTGTTATTAGCTTCAATATAATAAAAAGTGTCTAGACTTTTTCATGTTAGAAAGCCTAATATATTTTATTGTAGAGAAATGCTCCATTATTAGTACACAATTTTCTAAATGTTGCAAATAGGTTTCAGATTCTTCTTATTTTCATAGGGCCTCAGGATCCAAGGATGTCAGACTGGGGATCCTGGTCCTAAAAGAATTACTTTTTTTTCTTGGTTGCTGGAAGGGATGAATATGTCATAGTTAATCTGCTCTCTTTTCCTTCTTACTCTCAAAGTGCCTTTTGCTAGCAGGCATCTTTTTCTAATAAAAACATTCAGACCCACTTGGAATTTGTTTAAGCAATTTCACTTTCCTGTATTTCTCCTGGGGACAAGAATATCTGAATTTGTATCTCAGGGCAACTATCAACCAAAACACATGGATATCATTTGTATTTTGAAAAACAATGGCTAAAAATGGAAAGTATATTATAAAGCAAAGAAATAGACTAAAAGAATGCAATCAAATCTGAGACTGACTTTATGAGAGTCATGCTTTCTGAATTTCTGGGGTTTTTTTGCCACTGGGATTTTAATGAAAATGTTTGGTTTTGCACTTCATACATATAAATATAAAGTTCAGGATTTTACATATTCCTCATGAAAGGATTGTAGAATATTCTTAAAGTTTCTCAACCTCAGTCAGCTCTATTGAAACTATGGTCCAGAGAATTCTTTGTTAGTGATGAGAGATATCCTGTGTATTCAATAGAATTTCTGAATTGTACCCACAGGTCCCTGTAGCAACTCTCCTCTGAATTGTTACAATGAAGTATATCTCCACATATTTCCATTGTGTTTAGAAGAGAAAAATCACTCCTTTGGTAGTATATTTTACATTAATAATAGAACCATTGAACCCAAGACCATTTTTGTTGTTTTCTTTTTAGAAGATACACCCTTTTTAAGTTGATATTTTCCTCATGTATAATAGACATGAAAGTTTTTTAAATTCATTTTTTTTCTTTTTCTTTTTCTGTTTCCTTTTCTTTTTGCCAGTCCTGGGCTTGAACTCAAGGCCTGGGCACTGTCCCTGAACTTCTTTTGCTGAAACCTAGTACTCAATCACTTGAGCCACAGTGCCACTTCCAGCTTTTTCTGTTTATGTGGTACTGAGGAATTGAACCCAAGGCTTCATGTATGCTAGGCAAGCACTCTACCACTAAGGCACTTGCCCAGCCCTCCAAACTCATTTTGTATGTGTGCATGGGAAATATCACAGAGAAACCTGTTCATTTGTGTTAATGAAAGCTCAATACATTTGCAAAACAAATTTTATTTTAATCTTTGAAAAATCTTTATGTCTTTATGAGC